AATAACTAAATATTGTTGATTTTAGAAAGGAAAATGCCTCCGACCCCAGTGGGGGTGCTGAGGGTCGTGCGTGTAGGGCCTTGATTGGGCAGAATTTTTTTTTTTTTTTTTTTTTGTAGTTGGATAGATTTTTAGCCAATGAGCCCGCGCCACGTCACTGGGGGTCAAACCCCCATTAGAAAATCATGTACCTTAGAGAATGTTGTGCTTTAGATGCTTCTTTTGTTGTGTTTCAATGGTCAAAGTGTGGTTGAAAAGTGTGGGTAAACGCCTTATGTGTGGGTTACAATTTAGGGTTGGTTTGGCATAAACTAAGGAGTTGTTTGGGGTGTCCTAAATAAGTACTTTTTTTTATCTTTTTAGACTAAAAAGTTGAGAAAAAAAACATGGATATTTAGGTTAACTTTTTAACTTTTTTATGGAAAAATGTGTATTAAAAAATTATATAAAGAAGTGTGCAGGAGAATATTAGAAAGGTGGGTTGGCAGCCATACAAGCTGTGCAATTGAATTGATGGTAAGAAATTGTTGGCCAATGTTTGGGCATTGCACTGAACGATTTTGTTCGGCCCATGGGGGCCATCACGAGTCCCATTTTGATAATCTGAACCATTCAATGTGTAGAACTCGTTGAGTACTATACACTTATAAAAAATCATGTTGATCGGATATCGATAGCTATCTGATCAGATTTATTTTTTTTCAATCGTTAATTATAACATTATCCATTTTTTTATACAAAACTGATTTGATCATGTAGTTATCGATATCTGATTAATGTGATTTTTTATAGGCATATAGTACTCAACAAGTTCTATACATTAACGGTTCAGATTATCAAAACAGGACCCGTGATGGGCCCCCACAGGCCGAACAGCAGTGTATTCAATTGCACCAAATCTGATCAGATTTGTTCGGCCACACACGACACAGAGCAATGATTGCTTACATCACTGAGTTGTACTTGGCTTGGAAAATTAATTTTTTAATATTTTTTTTAATATTTTTTTTGTGAATAGTGATGACTTTTTAACTTTTTGATTAATTTTTTGAGAGTTGTCAAACTTGGCCTAAATAATACAAAAAGTCAAAAAGTTACTATCATATTTAAGTTACATCATTTTATTTAAATCACATCACCTCTCTAACACATCACATCAAACCCAATCCAAACCCAACCCATATAAGCCAATAAGTCAAAAAGTGCACTGTTTTAGAACATCCCAAACCAACCCTTAAGTTTTCGTTTACGAGTGGTGTGGGTTTATGTTTGGTGTGGTGTGTGTACATAGTATTTTAAGTTTTTGTATTGATATATGCATACAATATGTGTTAGAGATATATTTTTTGTATTGATATGTGCATACAATATGTGTTAGAAATATATTTAAAACATTTGATATGTGAAATGACATGCAAAAACCAACTTACTAATTAAGCTACCACCAATCACCACAAAAAAATAAAAAAAAATTATGCCTCATGCTGTAAATAGAGTAACAATGAGTTATTCTTTTTAATCTGTATGTTGTTTATTGTATTCTAATGTAATTGCTCTTCATGATCTCAAAAAATTAACAAAATAAAAATAAAAATAAAAAAAGTAACAATGAGTTGTGAGTTGTGTCATATATTACACCATTGATTTGACTTCTTACATGTCTGAATAATTTTATTTGCACACACAATTTATTTTTCGTGCACATCAATTTTTTAGCGTACACGCTTATAAATTTATTTATCTTTTGTTTTACTTAGGTGATTTGGCAACCACCTAAATAAGTTATTTATTGATTTATTTGTTACAAATTATTATATCATTTATTTATTTTTGGGGGTTTTTTTTTAAGGTCCCTGGTATTATGATTTTATAGCATAAAGGACATCAAATATTTTTATAATGTCTAAGGTCCCTCAACAATATTTTCATAATGTCTAAGGTCCCTCAACCTTGATCCAGAGAAATTTCAGTCCAGAGAAAATTGGTCCAGAGAAATTTGGTCCAGAGAAATTTCAGTGCAGAGAAAATTGGTCAGAGAAATTCTGGCCCAGAGAAATTTCTCTGGACCAAATTTCTCTGGATCGGCCCATGGGGGCCATCACGAGACCCATTTTGATAATCTGAACCATTCAATGTGTAGAACTCGTTGAGTACTATACACTTATAAAAAATCACGTTGATCGGATATCGATAGCTATCTGATCAGATTTATTTTTTTTCAATCGTTAATTATAACACTATCCATTTTTTTATACAAAACTGATTTGATCATGTAGTTATCGATATCTGATTAATGTGATTTTTTATAGGCATATAGTACTCAACAAGTTCTATACATTAACGGTTCAGATTATCAAAACAGGACCCGTGATGGGCCCCCACAGGCCGAACAGCAGTGTATTCAATTGCACCAAATCTGATCAGATTTGTTCGGCCACACACGACACAGAGCAATGATTGCTTACATCACTGAGTTGTACTTGGCTTGGAAAATTAATTTTTTAATATTTTTTTTGTGAATAGTGATGACTTTTTAACTTTTTGATTAACTTTTTGACTTTTTGACTTTTTTGAGAGTTGCCAAACTTGGCCTAAATAATACAAAAAGTCAAAAAGTTACTATCCTATTTAAGTTACATCATTTTATTTAAATCACATCACCTCTCTAACACATCACATCAAACCCAATCCAAACCCAACCCATATAAGCTAATAAATCAAAAAGTGCACTGTTTTAGAACATCCCGAACCAACCCTTAAGTTTTCGTTTACGAGTGGTGTGGGTTTATGTTTGGTATGGTGTGTGTACATAGTATTTTAAGTTTTTGTATTGATATATGCATACAATATGTCTTAGAGATATATTTTTTGTATTGATATGTGCATACAATATGTGTTAGAAATATATTTAAAACATTTGATATGTGAAATGACATGCAAAAACCAACTTACTAATTAAGCTACCACCAATCACCACAAAAAAAATAAATAAATAAAAAAAATTATGCCTCATGCTGTAAATAGAGTAACAATGAGTCATTCTTTTTAATCTGTATGTTGTTTATTGTATTCTAATGTAATTGCTCTTCATGATCTCAAAAATTTAACAAAATAAAAATAAAAATAAAAAAAGTAACAATGAGTTGTAAGTTGTGTCATATATTACACCATTGATTTGACTTCTTACATGTCTGAATAATTTTATTTGCACACACAATTTATTTTTCGTGCACATTATTTTTTATAAATTTATTTATCTTTTGTTTTACTAGGTGATTTGGCAACCACCTAAATAAGTTGTTTATTGATTTATTTGTTACAAATTATCATATCATTTATTTATTTTTTTATATGTATTTTTAAAAAAATTAAAAAATACTAAATAAACCATACGTAAATCACCCAAACGATTATAACTATTTTAAGTATGGTCTTATTGTGGAGTATGTCCAACGGTAATAGGCATTTTATTTATCTAAATATTATTATAAAATATATATTTTATTTTACCTATCAACTGTTTCATGTTTTTACTTCAACAATACTCTTTATTTTAGCTATTCATCCAAATATTATTAATTTTATAAAATGTCATATTATTAATTTTATAAAATGTCACATCAACAATAAAAATGGAATGAAATGATCCTAATGATCAAATATATTTTGCCTAGTCTTGAAGGCTAGTTACATGTACTAATAAATGTAAGTTGAGCTAAAATATCTAATCATATGCCTAATACATTAGAGTTGAAAAAAGTGACTCATACTAGGTATTTTACCTAATAAGTAGGGCAAATTACACAAATAGTCCCTATAATTTGGGATTTGTGTCACTTTAGTACCTGACTTTTCAATTGTGACACATTTGACCCTGAATTTTGAATCTTGATCCAAATAAAGACAATTGAAGATATTATTAGATTTTTCAAGGTAAAATTGTCAATTTGATAAAATATAAACTAATTTGACAAAAATAAATGTCAAACAAATATTTTTTAATTTTTAAAAATTATTTCTACCCACTAAAAATAAAATTATGTAAAATTAATAAATCTTTTAGACATTTATTTATTTATTTTATCAAATTAATTTTTATTATGTGTTTGAATGATGATCATGTAAAATTAATTTAAAAAAATTAATCATGTAATTTTATTAATTTTACATAATTTTATCATTGGTGGATAAAAATAATTTCTTAAAAATTAAAAATATTTTTTTGACATTTATTTTTATCAAATTAGTTTATATTTTATCAAATTGACGATTTTACTCTTGAAAAATCTAATGATATTTTCAATTGTCTTTATTTGGAACAAGATTTAAAATTCATGATCAAATGTGTCACAATTGAAAGGTCGTGGACTAAAGTGACACAAGTTCTAAACTATAGAGACTATTAGTGTAATTAACCCTAACAAGTATTATATGACTAGTGAATAAGAGATGATCTTAGAGCATCCACAATGGACGTGTTAGTGATGGTGTTAGTTCAGTGGCCAAAGTTTAGCTAGCTACAGTAACATTTCGATCTCACAATAGACGTGTTAACGTGTGTGTTAGTGGTGTGCGTTAGGGTCAGTTGTTAACTTGTTTGTTATCTACAGATAGAGTTGCAACGAGCGTTGTAGCTGGGAATGGAAGTGCTTTTTTGTCTTACTGGTTGACCGGTCGAACGTCCGGCCGGTTGATTGGTCAACGACAATTTTTTTTTTAAACTTGTTGAGATTTTTTTTTTTTTTACTTGAAATTTAATTTCAGGCTTGAAATTTTTTATTAAACTAAATTATTTATTTATTTTATTTATTATATACATACTTAACACATCTATTGCACCATCACTCACTCTCTAAAATTAACAAATTTTTAACACATCTTAACAAATATTTTTAAATCTCACTTTTATTATTTTTTGTCATATTATACACCTAAATACGTTTTTTTAACTATCCCATTGTGAATGCCATTAGATTCCTAGTTAGGTTTGGACCGGCCACCGCACGTAATAATTCCCGAAAAGGTAAACCCTATGTTGTTGAAATATATCTGAATATCAAATCCTTGTGCGGTAACAACGCCGCCCCACACACCACACAGTTTCTCGGCGGCGCCTCCTCCCCCATTCTCTACGATTTCAGCTCTTTATAGGGTTTAACAACTTCAACCCTCCGGACTCCCCCGATCATCGATCAAACTCAACCCCTAAGGTAATCTCTCTCTCTCTCTCTGATCTTACGCTAAATATAGTTGTTTATGCGTGTATGTATATTTACGCTAGGGATTCGATTGATTTCGTTCGCTGCGTTGAATCAGTGGCGGGACCAGAAAATTTATTAATTTTGATCATACAAAACTTAAATATTCGTTACATAAATTTTTATTGTAATCTTTTGAAATCTTTTCGTGATATTGTTATTATCAGTGTCAACAGTTGCCATTTAATCAAAATTCTTAATTTTTTGCACCACAAATGAAAAATCTTAATCTTAACAAATCCGAATCTCTCAAATTTACATAATTGACCACAAATCAAAATCTTTAATTTTAGTTAATCATCACAGTCTCTTGACATATAGGAAAGTGAGGGGAGGGTTGGGTTGTATTTAAAAGAAAAACACGTGTCCAATCAATCGATTACAGGTGGGTTTTTGTTTTCTTTACTGTCGCATTCGGATCTTCAACTTTTCGTGTTCGGTCACCACACTGATTTGTAGGTTCTCTTCACTTTATTGAATTGATCAGATCAGAAAATTGAATTGACAATTGAAAACTTACATTAAATTTATTTAGTAAAAGTTGAGAGTATTATCACTTTAGAAAGATCAATTGCTTTTAATCTACTAGTTGTGGGTGCAAATCTGATGTGTTTCTAATTTTACATTAAATTTTTTTTTGGGTGTTTTGATGAATGAGAATGTTTGGCAGTTTTGGATGATTATTGGATATGGAAGACATTATTGGAAACAAGAAAGCGTGACAAACATTCCCACCAAATAGTGTGTATGCTTTATGTAATAGAATAAATATTTAAGTGATGTGTATCTACATATATGAAGATATAATTGCACATATAATTTTCTTATTTTGTTATGGTCTCTTGTTTTCTTTGAATTTTCGTGCTGAACTCCTCTCTCATTGGTGGCTTTTTTTGGAATGATTTTCTTTTGGCACACATATTTTCTATTTGTTGTTATTTTTATAAGTGACTAGTATGTTCCTTGTTTTGGGTTTGAATTTGATACCCTGAATTTTTACACAATGCCTGCTTAGTTTTTTGGGGAATATGAGAAAAATGGTAATCAAATAAACTAATTGCAAATCAATAAATTGCAAGTGAGACACTGTCCTAACAGTTACTTGCACCTAGGACTGTGCAAAAAACAGCAGATTCCTATGACCCCTCCCACACCTAATCCCTTCTCACCCTAACCCTGAATCAACAACTAAAGCTCTCTATTCTGTATCAGCCGTAGTCTTCTCACCTCCAACACCTAATCATCCCTTGCCGTTGCCTCCAATGCCCAACCTAGGGTTGCCATCTGCTGTAATTTATCATCGTTGACGCTGTCTTCTGTCATCATTCCCACCACCACCACTAACGACTACTTCTCTACAACTCCCGTGTGCTTGTTCAAGGTACACTCTCAGATCTCATCTCTCTCTCACACATGGATCTCAAACCTCTCTCTCTCATTCATCTCATTTGAACCCTTTGTCTCAAATCACCCTTCTTCCCAACTCATCTTTCCCCTCCATCACTGGTACTCCCTTTTCCTGCAAATTTGTTTGTGCATAAAAATTATATATATGTGTATATATAAATATGTATTTAGATTTGTTTATGTTTTGTGTATGGTTTATTGTTTGATTTTGAATGTTTTGCTGGTATGAGTTGTTGAAATTTCTGTAGTTGGTATTTGGTAGCTAGAAATAGGAAAATTTTCAGACCACCAAGGGGGCTTCGGTTAAGATTCTGATCCCAAACAGCCACCGCCCCAACCTGTGCACACCCCTAGCACTCACGTGCACTCTATTGATTTATAATTACCTTTCTTGTTTCCCATTTTTATGATATTTCCCAACTTTTTTTTTTCTTTTTCCTTAATACATATTTCTTCATTATGATAAAATTAATATGCGGTAGTGAAAGCAGTTAGTTATAAATTTTTTGGGTTCTTTTGTTTGAGTTTTGTGCTTGGGTAGCATCATCACCTTTTGACACTTGTTCTAATAAAGTTTTTGAGCAAGAAGCTTGCATTACACATTCATTGTAACAGATCATTGTTGCTTTTCTGGTTCCAAATTGTCACTATTTCCTGAACTTTCACTATTCCTAAATTTCTTCATTTTGATAACCCATTAGCGC